TCTACACAGGACATTCAAATTACTAGGGTCTTTATCTGTATTCTTGTCTTGCACTTAAGCAAAATTCTTCATAGAGTTATTGTTTACTTCAAACTCCATATTGATTTAGAATTCTAATTCAAGTTAGATTCCTTCTTTAATTAAAACTCCTAGCCTCTTTGGACTTCTTCTTCAAATTTCATTCATTTATTCTTTTGTATTGTAGTCGAACTTCCACACTTCAATTCAGTAGTAATTTGAAGAGGTCTACAGTAAGTGACACTCCTTCTTCAATTAAAACTCATTGCCTCTTTAGACACCTTCAAATCAAACTCATTGATTCTTCAATCAATCAGATGTTTATTTCCACCAGATTTTCTCAAAAAATAAACATTATCCATTGTTTATTAATCATCAAAACTGCATAAATCTCAACAATTAAATTACCCTGTTTCATGACATTTTTCAAGACCAAATAATATTATTTATGATTGGATTCTTATTTTATCAAATGTATAAATAACAATGCTTCTAACTTGTATTTTTTCATCCTTAATATTTGGTTATTGAATAAAAAGACATTTTATATGGTCCAATTTCAGTTTTGACTTTTAGCCTGTTAACAATAAAAACACACACACATTTAATTTACATATACTGATAATTTAAAAATCTTTTACACGTTATCTCTTTTAGTACTTCCACTGATAATTTAAAATTATTGTAATGTATATACAACCTTGTATGCAAAAGGAAATGTTAGTGCTCCAAGAGACAGGCATTGATAGTATGAGAGCATTTTTAGTTTATGCACCAATAGAGTTACCAACGGACACTTGAATTGTCAAGGAAGGTGATGCAATAAAAGCTCCCATTTTCCCCTCAGGTATCATTGTATGTCCCGATGGTCGCCTCTCCTTGGATAGGGACAGTACTGCAAATGCAGAAAATAATTCAATTTTGACAGTGACCTTTTGAAATATTGATTAGTTGTCATAATAATCTAACCTCCAAGAAGAAACAAATATAGGTAGTGGCTTTTGTTCATTACCTTTTGAGCAGCATAATTTTAAAAATCAAAGCAATATTGGGTTGCTCTGGTTTATGATTGATTAATTTCGTGTTGTTATTTGTTTGTTTTGATGATTTTGAAACTTAGACAATTGATGATTTCAAAGATGATGCATTCCCTTTTTTATTTCTTTTTAAAATATAAAGACTATGAGATATGTGTTGTCGCAAATGTCATTTATAATGATACACATATTTGACACTTCTCATTTAATGGGTTTTTTCCATTTTTATTATGTTTGGTTTATCTGATCATTGTTTTTGTTATTTGTTATGTTACAATATCATGCCTTCCTGATTTTTCTAGTTTAATGTAGTGGAGTAGTATAGAAATAGTATCCATGTGTATATGGAATAGTATATAAACAGTATCCATGTGTGGATGGAAGTATATGTTGTGAACACATATTGCCCATACTCTAGCTAAGTTATTGAGCCTAGGCTAAGTCACGAAAAGTCTCACGTAATAGACGTCCGAAAAATAGATTTACTTGGGGTCTAGGGTGAGCATCCATTTTTGTCTTGTGGACACACTCCTTACTTGGTTTCTTACTTTCTTTCTTTCTTGACTACAACTCAAATGACCACATTTATTTATAGATGGCAATTGATGGAAGGATCTAGTGAAGGATCGGATATGGACGATTCAACTCTAGAGTGTTCCTCCAACTACATATTTCTGCAAAATATATGCACTTTAACTTAAGAACAATCATTCTAGATACATCCTTTCATTTGTTTACAAGTCTAAGCTTTCAAAGTTGCTGATTAATTTCTAACAGTTTCTAGAGCTAAGCTTTTCATCCTCCGTTCTTATCTCTATTCTTTAGTTACATGTTATTTCAGTAGTTTGCATTGTAATTAAATAGTTTAAGTGTTGGTGTTATAATTTGGTTATGAGTCATTATATAGTAGTTGAGTATTCTAGTTTGTTACTTCATACGTAAAAATTTAATGACGTGGCCAGTTTCTCCCACGCTTTTAATGCTATACTTTTTTTTTGTTTTTCTCAAAACATAATTAACTTTTAGCCTACGTTGACATACATCAGAAAAACCTTTGTCTCCTCCTTCATTTCTCTTCTACCAACTTGTCTTGTCTCTATGATCTGTAGGTTTTTGTTCGTCCATGTTTGATTATAGCAGGCGCACTAGTATTTGTTTTTTTATTTGGCACATTAGTCTCTTTTTGTATACTTAGAATGAAAAAGGCACCAAGAAAATTTGGTACATGGTTTCCTACTCTGTAGCGGCGAGTGATTTGGATTCCAGCACTCTTCTTGTAGTTAATGATTTTGTCCACAAACATGAAAAGCATCAGGTAGAAAGAATCGTCCTTTGTCACCATGTTTTTTGTGCATTGAGTCCACACCATTTCACTTCAAACTCTGTTGAATAACTTCATTTAGTGATATTGCTACTGTTACATTTAATCACCTTGACTATCTCTAACTATTCCACATATACTATCTTTTCTCATTTTTTTTTGAGAAACGCCCATTTGTGTTCACTTTTCACTTTGATTGTTCCATAAGGAGCATCGTTTAACCATACTTATTTCAATCTCTTAATGTTCTAAGCCTTTCTACTATATATGTCCATTTTGTGATAGGCTGGATTGATTCGACTTTTGTATGTCCAAACAACCCTGATATTCTAAATATACTCGTTAGCGTCATTTATTAACTCAAATCATTTTGATCAATCTAATTCATCCCATATAAATTCATGGATTGAGAAACATAAGTGTTGAACGGCTTGGCCTATCCATTGACAACTGTTTAGCCCATTTTGACTCAATTCGTTTCCGCTCAATTAGTAACATTTGAGCGGATTAATAACCAACTAATTTTTCTAATTCAACACTTTTTATTTTGCCCCAACCAAATTCAACTCTACACACTCATTTGACACCCCTAAACACCTGCACTAATCATCATAGATTAATTTAAATCCATCTTTATTTAAGACGATATGAATGTTATAATATCATTTGAGACTAGTTAAATGGAAGAAATAATAATAAAATAGAAGGTATGACACAATGTTTAATCTAGGTAACTAATAAGACGATATGAATGTTATAGGATCATTTCTATTAGCGGTATATTTGATGTAACAAATCGAACCCCATTTATTATGTAGATTTAGTTGTATGCTGATTGATGTTGGCAAATGTTGAAGTTAGCCTTGCTAGAAAGGAAGAATCGTGAAGTCGGTTCAGACTTGTCTTACCTAAAAAAATTTCTTAGGAAAGAGATGCTCATAAGTTAATTTAATTAAATGTTTTTGAAAGATAATGTGCTTCGTGTAAATATGGTGACAAAAATCAGTATGTATCAGTTATATTTTCCTAACCAAGGAGATTCTCACTGTTACAGAGCAAGCCAATCAAAGAAAGAAACAAAATTAACATACCCTGCCTATATCTCCATTAATCAGAATCTGCTGCAACTATAATTTGGATAAGTGGCTACTTCCAAATCTAAGGATAAAATACGCTAAGATTTGTATACAAGCTACGGAGTATTTGATGGTAACTATATTTTTTCTACATGTTATCAATTTGTGAAGATATGTTCTTTTAAACTTTCAAAGAATGTTATTATGAAAGTTATTAATGAAGTATGAAAGTTTGTTTCATACATTTAAAGTAAAGAAAACAATTTCTTTTTATCCACATCCATGGTGTGTGTGTGTGTGCTCGGGTGGTCTTTAGAGTATCTAGTGAAATTGTTTCCATTTGGTCGGGAGGTCACGCGTTTATGTCGTTGAAACAACCTCTTGCACAAATACAAGGTAGGGCTGCGAACAATCTTGAAGAGATTCATCAGTCCCTGGGATTTCTTAAATATCTCTGTGAAATAATATTAACTAATTGTAAAATGCTTAAGAGGTTTCCATCTCTATGCATCAGCTCCCTTAAATATCTTACTCTACAGGTGTGCTCTAGTTTAGAAATTTTTTCTGAAATACTCGGAAGTATGGAATTGGAGATGGAGATTCACATGCTATTGTGATGATGAGGGATCTAAATTCAATGCATTTTTTATTTCCATGTTTGTTGTGACAGAATGTCTTTTCAACGCAGCATGACATCTCTGCTTCAAATTCCCTCTCACTACGAGCGTTTACCATTAAGCATGGTGGGAATGGATAAAAGTGTATCAGTGAATTTGCCTTAAAATTTGTATGCACCTGATAGCTTATTTGGATTTGTTGTATGTTGCTTTGGCAGGTTAATTTGACATATGAAAATTTTGTAAAACAGTTTGGTAGTGAAATCTAGTGGACATTTTCATATTTGTATCACGTTAAACGTGGAGGTTAAATTTAGTATACCAGAATAGATCTTCAAGTAAAACAACCTTCTCGAACTTTCCGACCTGATAGATATCATGTTCAAGGTGATAATATAGATTGAGAAATACGATTACTATTAGAACTTAGTGCCTGAAGCATTAAGTGGTGTGGTTTAATTATGTCTTGCATTAATTACCAAACTATTTTTTCCCTCATGAAGTAAAAATTTTGTATGTTTTTCAGGCATGTGCATTTGCTGAAGAATTACAAGGCAGTTATTGTTAGCAAATAAAGTCCTGTTTTCCAGCTTTGTCCTAGTCTTTAGGAGAATAGTTTATCATGGATTTGTTTCCTATCTATTAGGAGTAATATTAGCTAGTGGTTCCTACTTTCTTGCTTACTATTGTTATGTCTTTCCACCTATAAAATCTGCAGCCAAGAGTACTAAATAACAGTTCCTAAAAAAAAACAGTTCCATTTTAAGCGTGTTGCCTCTATATCAGTTTTTGCTTTCTGCGTATTCTTCCTTCTTGTGCATCTGTTCACAGTGGTATCAGAGCCAGTGTGAGATCCTGGAGTGAAAAATAAAGTAGAATAAAAAAAATATATAGCAGCAGCTAAACCTCTCTTCTCTTTTCTGTTCCACTCATGGCATCAGATAGTAACTTTGTACAAGCAGCAATTCCTCGCTTTGATGGTCACTACGACCATTGGAGCATGCTGATGGAGAATTTCTTACGGTCAAAGGAGTATTGGCCAATTTTGGAGGACGGCGTTAACACTCCGGCGGAAGGCGAAATTTTGACGAATGCTCAAAAGGCAGAATTGGAAGCGAAAAAGTTGAAAC